AGAAAGAGTGTGTGTTTTAATAATTTTATATTTAAGAACTTGGCTTAAGAACACCCCATTGCACATGCCCTCATATACAGATATTTTTTATATTAATAAATAATAAGTTGTAAAAGTTGAAAGACTTATATATAATAATGTAATGGATTCTCCTTTTTCTTCTTCTATTTTGTTCCATTTTTTTATGTCACAAAACTCAGGAAAAGAAGATCTGAACGCTAGAAGTTTTCAAAGACTTGCATACAGGACAGATCCCAGTGAACACATCACATTCTTTACACAAACTCAAGTGCCTACACGGCACAAGCAACACCGATACTTCCTTCGCGTTGCACATTTTGCATCTTATCCTATGGATTCCCATCTTGTTCTTGTTTGGATCAATGTACGACGAAGCTGCATCATCTATCTCACTATCTCCAAACCCTTCTTTGCCTTGATCTGCAGCANCAATCATATTGTTGTTCTTGTGTGACATTGCTTGTTGGAGATTTGTCTTTAAGACATTAACCACAGACTCATTGTACTTTGCTCTGTAATGCCAATTCTGAGCTTCAGTTGCCACTTGCTTTATCCGCTCCACGAGCTCCTTATTCTTTCTGTTCATGTTATCGATCTNGATATCCTTCTCTTGAAGCTTCTTGCTCACTCCTTTCTCTATTGTGTTGAGAAAAGACGCAATCTGTCTCTGTTTTATATCTCTCACGCCTTTCGCCATTTGAGCTGCCTGAACCACACAAAAACATTATTACAAAGAAGAACCTTAAAGCGCACAACAGAACACGCGCAGAGACAATTCAGTACCTGGATCTTGATGAACTGGTCAAGCTCGTCTTTTTGTCTATGGAGGTCAATCCGAAGACTATCCATAACATAATTTAAATAGTCAAAAACAACAAAACACAATTAATTTTGCATAGAAACTTGAAAACATCAAATAAAAAAAATCTCTAAAACATCAAATATAATATAATGAAACGGAGAGAATATTTTCTATTAAGCAATAGTAACAAATTTTAAGTTTCAATAAATATTAATTAAGGATATTTGAATTTATAAAATAACCATTGGTTTATAGTTATAGAGAAATGTTTAGATGCATTTATAACTAAACACAACTAATTATTAATAAATATGTGTGAAAATTATAGAAATCAATTGATTAGAAACATAGGTATTAATACGTAGTTGGAGACTGATGAATATTAATGATGCCTACCTAGAGCCACGACTCTTCCAGTTCCACTCTTTGTTCAAAACCCAAAAAATATTTTACTTTTTTTTTGGTTTAAAGAATATTTTACTTTGCCATCAAGAGAACTAACTACGTACTTAAAATAAGCAAACATGTATTTAGATTTTGAACGTTGAACAAAGAAAAATGGAATGCAAAACGTTTATATTACCGTTGTGGATGATGATGCTAAGAGTAATACTAACTACTATTGGTTCCTGCCGATTAACACATGATAGGAACTCAGTATTTAACTAATCTTTCTTTTAAAAATTCTTCTTCATGTTTAATTCACGAGGAAAACAAAAGAAAAGAAGATTAACTAATTACTCAACCCAATACAAAACAGAGTACACTCAAACCTCTATAAATTAATTCATCTCAATCTTAAGTTTGTCACCTTGGAATTAAGATTTTTTTTTTAGTTTGCCCAAAAAAAAAAGAGAGATATCTTTTTAGGTAATAATTTTTATAAACAAAAAAAAAATCAATGATGTTCTATTAAAGAATTGAATTGTATCCATTTGTAAAAATGATATGCATTAACTTGAGATTATGATTTATAATTTTAGTTA